CAACTGCTCTAAAACTAAAGAAACATCAGTTAAACTGAAACACATTCCTTATCCCAGTATCAGTGTTTGCAAAATTGCAATTGCAATATATTCCTTCCATGCAGTTTTGATTTTATATTATATCTTAAAGGCCCTGCATTGACAAGATGCACACTCAGATAGGTGGATTCTAGCTCCCCTTAAACCATAAGAAGATATATGTTTTTTATGCTAAAGCTTGCAGTAAATAGTGTGAACATTGTAAAGGTAGTAAAAACACCTCATGGTGTTCAGGATTTTAATAAGAGGCAATCTGCTGTTTTCAGGAAAATATATATTTGTTGTACAATTAAGTAATAGGAAACATTCTAATGTAAAAAATAATATATATAATGTTGAGACACTTGAAGATTATTTTTACGGTAGCAGACATTAGGAGGGCAGAGTACAGTAGAGAGCAACTGTTCTATGATTTTGATCTTTCGAACTGAACAGCTGTGATTTACAAATGTGTGCAGCCTTTTGTAAATCTCAGCGTTAGAATAGGAAACTGTGTCTATATTCATATATATTCTGAGTCCTTTCAGAGATCTCTCATCTTAGCCTAAAGGTTCTTGCCAAGGACTTTTAGCTCATGACTAATTCAGATAGTTGCACAGAGCAACTCTAAGTGCCATAACTCCCTATCTTGGTGAGAATGTGGAGTTGAGCCTGTTGCTAGGTGGGACACTGTCTTCTAAGAACTCCTATCTGTTGACACAAGAAACAAATAAACAAAAAAGAAACAAACACAGATGCACACCTAGTTGTCAATGGAGAGAAACTGACAGCTATGAAATTTAGACTGAAGATAGAAATGTGACCATATTAAGTCACACAACATCAAAAGCTTGAACATACATTTTGGCAAATATTAATATGATTTTAACTTATTTATATGTTGACCTGTCATACTGAAAAGAGAAAAGAAAAGTGTTGAAAAGGTAGATTGGTTCCGGGGTCACGGTGCAATGAGGCATACTTTAAAGCACAGAGCCATTGGAAAGCTGGGTAAAGTCGGTGCTGGCTGGTTGGCTGATTCAATCTTTAATTGAACTGATACAACAGGTGCATTAAACATTTTACCCTTTTGGGATGCTACAGTTTATCTTATTTCAGTATTAATAATTTTAAGATTATTAAAGAAAGTTTATGTGCTCTTTTAATAAACTATCCTGCTATTGAATCAGCCAAACAGCTGTCTCTGTTTCCTCATTCTTGTCAGTTTAAGACACTCTTAGGTTTGCTTAAAGTCCTACTTGATACCGGCTTAAGGCTCAGGGCCCTTAGGGTTAGTGCATCTCTATAATAATATACCTATTTATTATTAATAGTAATATTGTTATTTTATGGCAAAAAGCTATATATCTTGGATTATTACCACGGAGCTGTTTAGTTTATTTCTATATATTCAAAACTGGGTTGCAAAAACTATCAGGAAAATAGTTTTAGAATCAGTTCGTCCAGAATGAATAATTTGCTTCTCTAAATGTTTGTTCTTAAACTTATCAGGTTATGATTGAATGTAAAAAAAATGTTGTCGTAATAAAAATGTACTGATTAATGTGGGAAAAAACACATTTACAAATGTACATAGTCATAGAAAACTTTGTGTCTGCATACAATTGCTGTGATGTTTCATTATTATATAAATAATACAAGGATGAGCTATGTTAGAATGTTTTCTTATTCCAGTTTCATAGCAGTCTAGATGATTAAAGAGCATGTATACTATACACATAATAAAAAAAAATATATATTTTTTTCTATTTAGATGGTTAAAGAAAGTTTGAAATTGTCCAAGGTTATCATACATCTTTCCCATTTTAGATTGTGTTTAAGGTGAAACTAAACAGATGCCATCATTGATAGAAGATACACATCTAGACGCTTTTAAATGTTCTTTGCCTGCAGTGTTTTCACTTTCATACAATTTCAATATAATATAAACATTTAAACAGCATATAAACAGGGTGACACGATTAGGAGATCCTCCCCTTATGCAAGACTAAAAAGGACTGAACTGGGAATATGCATTAATACAACTTGTCTAACGAAATCCATGTATTGTGTATGTTTGCCTTTGGGTGTAGACAGGTTGTTAATCCACACATTATGCTGAGCCCCAGGTGTGCAGTCCCAACCAAGCCCCTTACCAGGAGTGGTATACAATACTAATCACCCTAGACAGCTCACATCATTCCATGTAGTCTGTAAAGGGCAGGATATGTCAGTCCAACTTCGCTTGGGGTCTGCCTGCGCGTTGTAATTGAGGCATTAAGCTATTTATCGGCGGAGGCAGGAGACAGAAGGCAGGTGAACATGAATGTAAGTTAAAACCAGGGAGAAAAGATTTGTTCAAGCATTAATGAAATAATAAAGCTTTGCTCTTCAAAATGATAATAAATTAAAACATTTCAAATTACATTTCTGAAATTTTCTTCTTCCTTTTTGATGAATGAAAATTGTCTGAAGTCTCTTTTTTCATGCCTATATGTGGCTTTGGTGACATTCACAAGCTTTTCCATTGTGGCATTTTGACAGGTGACATCTTTGCTTTTATTAAACTCCTGAAGGTGGGTGCTGTGGATTGGGGTTTTGTTCAACTTTAGAATTAAAGAAGGGTGAATTTTCTCTTTCCCTTGACCATTAGTTATCTTTCTCTTGAACTGGTCACCGGTGACAACTTTTAATACATACTAATAGCCATAAATTATTACTTTCCCTGAACAAACAACAGTCAGTTAAAACAATTAATAATATAACACTAAAAGTGTTTTTGAGCCTCCAAACATTTAAGATATTAATTTTTAAATATTATGTTATGTATATGTTGCTAAAGATTTGTCGCATATTATATTTAGAATGATGAGATGTGCATGTAACATGCATTTAGATGCATATGATATGACTGTAAATGTTTTTTTTCTTTTTCAGAAATCAGAATAGTCAAATAGTTATTTATTGTATAATAAAATTATACAGTACAGCCCTTAAAAAAAACATCTCCCTTGTTTTTTTTTTTGTTGAATGTATTCTTTAGTTAATATTAAATAAATAACTAAATAAATTGAAGAAAATAAGGGAGATCTCAAAGCCTTTTCCCTGAGTGTATAGTACTAACTGCATGGTTTTTATCCACTCTGATGTATTATAATTTTGTTTCTTTTAAATCTTACCTTCCGTTTCATACAAAACATAATTTTATCATAACTTAAACTCAAAAGTCTCAATTAAATTTTTTCCTCAAATTGTATATAAGCTCTGAATAACCCAGCATACATCTTTTTTTTTTCTACTATAAGGCAGTATATGCAGCATCTAGTGGACCTCATTCCAGAGTTCTTTATGGCTCTTTCTCTCTTTTTAAAATATAGTTGACACACAGAAATACATGCATAAACAGTGTACACAGAAATATACGGTGGTGCTAACACAGAGAAAGCAGTAGCTCAACTTCAAAGGGAAACCTGAGAGGGTCATGAATAATCACAGACATCTTTGTCTGCAGCGGGAAAACAGCACTGCCCTCCATACACGTAGGAACAAAAGTTCATATGGCTGAAGCTGTTTTTAGCTCAGGCACCAGTTACACATTTTATTTTGTGGACTGACAATTGAATTTTAATTAAGTTTTTGGGAAAAAAGAAGAATAAAAAAAACATTGAGAGAATATGTAACACTTATTCATTTACAACACAGACATTCATGCCAGTTGGCTGCGGCCATGATGCACTACTAATAGAAGAATTACACCACGTCATTCACTTATTATTATGCTGCAGTTTCCACTGGATTGTAAACAAACCTTTCTCACAGAACAACTTCTGTTTTTGACCTCTTAGACGAAGAAAATGAATATGTTCTATTTATAAAAACATTTTTTTATGGATTTAAAAAGTTTGAAAACCTGATTATTACACTTGTTTTTTTTTTGTCCTGAATAAAAACATTAACAATATTCATCTGTAATATGGGATTACAAAAGCAGCAAAAATTATATATGATTTCTCTGACTTTAAGTTTGAAGCTTGGGTTTGTTACTTTTTTATAATCCTATAAGCTAACTGCATAGATACAGTGCAGTTACTGCAAAAACCAATTAATAGTTATTGTGTTGTCTGTATAACAAACCCTGAAAATATTCTTGGCAGGTGGGAGATGGCTTAGGACGACTTACTACTAAATCTTTTGTTATTTAATGTTAGTTTGTGTGGGGTAAATGTTTGTTCGTCATGACATTCCTCCCTTGTCAAAGCCCGAAAAGAATTCCATGTAGGAGTGGCAGGCATAACTTCTGAGTTTAACTCACAAACTTGCTTTGAAACAGAAAAACACAATCTCTCATATCAAACACTGTGCAAAAAAAAGGGGTTCAAAGATTACACCCATACATGCAAAAGGCCCCACCCACAGATAACCTCGGTAACTTCATGTTAGACATTGGAGCTCATCAGAATCTACAAGTCTTTTGAGGGTTGTGTAACATGAGTGTAGAGAAAGACAGATAGAAAAAAGAGGTGGGGAGGGGGCTAAGGTAACCTGATGTCCCAGGAGTTTACTGAGGAGTAAATTACTTCCCATTGAAGTTTGGAGAACCCCCTTTTTTTCCCCTTTAATCTTCACTTCTGTTCTCTTGGCTCTTCCAAACCTCAAGCAATTCCTCCCCTTTTGCTGTCTGAGCAACAGACGCACAAAAAGAAAAAAAAAACAGTATGATGCAAAAATGCTGACAGCACATGGCACCAAAACATTAGCAGCATTATCTTGTAAAACATTTTTATGGCACCTCCTGTGAGCTGTTTCCAGCTGGATTTTTCCTCCCCAGCAATGCATGCTCCTTAACCTAATCCTAACTCAGAGGGGTTCACTTTCACTAAAAAGCAGGTAAAAGAAAAAAAAAAAAAAGAGTCCTTCATAAAACGTCACAAATACTCCCCATTTTTATACTTGAACTCCAAATTCAGAAGAACACAACTCACCAGCCTATAACGCTCCTTTTCCTCTTTCCACACTTGAATAAAACCTAAGATAGGAAGTCAGTAATTCCTCTTCACTTTTTCCTCAGACCTACAGAAGAATTATCTCACAGTCAAAATCCCGCTCCTGCTTTAAAAATATCTGCATCCAGGTCCTGGGCCATCCACTTAAGTCTGTGTGCCTCCTGCAGTCTGTGGTGATCTAAAGTTTAGTGAGACTCCCAATGCTGTTCCCTCCCTTCAGGTCCTAGTGCTGGTGTTGTTCACATCCTCCTTCCTTTTTTTTCATCTGTGGGATTTTCTCTCAACCAAAAACAATTTTAATTGATTCAGGCTGTTTAGGATCCCTGATAGTTTTCTTCAGATAACCTTGGATAAATGTCTGAATGCAAGTGGCTGACCACTGAAATATTGAAGCTTAGTAGAACATTTTCAATCCATACTGTGAAATTCTAAGAGTTGACTTTGAAAATTTGCACATCCCTGGACGGTGTAAAACAGGTTAATTTGTACAGTCAAATGCTATGCTTGCATTTACAGGAACAAAGGTTTGATTGTCTGGTGAAGCCAGGAATTTATTCAGTTCTGCTACTTGTCAATGGCAGAGAATTGAAAAAGAGCAAAGATAAACAGCAAAGCAAGCAACTGGGATAGCCCCTTACCCTGATAGCTGCCCGCCACACCCTGTATTCAAAAGACTCCCCATGCTCTGGTATCGCAACACATCTCACACTTTTCCGTTTCTGAATATATTAGTGTTATAATGTCTTGGACATGCCTTTGCACAGTTTTTTCTGGTTTTTCTTCTCTTTCACGGCTTCCCCGTGACCTGAACCGTATCATTGTCAGAGCCCCTGGCGCTAAACATTCAGATATCCCACCCATGCCAACCAACAGGGAAGAAAAACGAAACAAAATAGAGAAAGAAATGTGAGGGATTAAGTGTCAGTGTCATCACTTTTTATACATACTGGGAAGGTTAAATATATTGTAGTGTATGTATAAAAAAACTGAGAACTAATTCATTATTTGAAATCTATATTACTTATAAATGAGCTTTGAAAGGAACTCCAGTAAAGTTCTAAGAGGACTTTTAACGTTTAAGAGTTTTGACCCCATGGGGTTGACTTCAAACCCAAGCAAACATTGTTCTCTTTCAGACATCCACCAGTATGCATGGATGCTTGTGTGTCTTTGGCTGGGCGTATAAGGCTGTCGCTGTCAAAGCTGCCTCTGTCGTTGTTATCACGTCTCTGAAAGGGGAAACCCCAGATATTGAACTATGGCCCTGCACCCCGCACAGTGGTTGGTTAAGGGGCGAGAAAAGCTGGGGAGGTTGAGCATTTTGACCAAGGGGCTGCTGAGGAGGTCAAGAGTACGCTGATGTCCTCATAATCACGGCATCTTAAGTGAAGGGACTTCTGCAATGTATCTTTTCATCAGTTTGATTGTGCTTTAGGCCAAAATCGTGAATCAAATGTTATATGCCATTTGTCTAAGCTGCATTTATCAATGTATAAGAAAACTTTTGTAAGAGATTTTTACTGCAATTAAAGATTGGCAAAAGGTTTTCTGCAAGGGGGCCATACAAAATATTAATACATTCTTTAAAATGCCTTGAAAGGCTCTAGTGCTTGTTCTGCACAATAAAAACAAGAACATGTGTGCCACACAATGACATTTAATATTTGCATACTCAACATGATTTCCATCTGCAGGTTACCACATAGACACAGCAACAAGAAAAATCTAGACCTAAACACTACTAATAGTTTTCATACAAGCACTTAACAACACCTTAGTCATACAGTAGTCAATAACTTCCGAATGATAAATAAGGAAAGTAGTTGGACAAGTTTCTCCATGGCAAAAATACTGTTGTTTATAGACAGATGTGCAACGCATTGCATGCAACAGAAGCTGCTCACATAAATTCTAAGTAGTCATGTTTCTTTGAACTTCAACGTCTCATACCTGAATTTTGTTTTCAATAGAATTACTGTACATTTCCAAGTAAAAGGGGGTTGTAATTAGTTGTGTTTTATTATGTAATACAAGACCAACTTTAACAGTTCAATCATGTCTGGCCAACGTGACTATCACTGACTACAGATGAAAAATGTTCTATTGTTTTGAAGACACTAGTTTAGTAAACATATTGTTTGTTTTTAAGAATTGAATAGATTTAAATGTTATTGTCATTACACTGTCACAAGTACAAAGCAAAGAAATTCACTCTCTGCATTTAACCCATCCCCTTGGGGAGCAGTGGGCTGCCACTGTGCGGCGCCTGGGGAGCAGTGTGGGGTTAAGGGCATCGGCGTCGCCAGACCCCATTTACTGGGGCACGTGCCCCAGTATAAATGAGCTGTGCCCCAGTATAAATCTCATGAATATTTGCAACAGTATTACATTTTTTTAATGCATCAATTTAGATAATTCCAACGGAAGGAGACGTATATTTCTACTCAAATGCGCAGCAAGTGTGTTGGTAACTCCAAATTGAGGATGTATTAGCGCCCCCACGTCAGCGCATGTCACTGCATGAACTGCAGGTAAACTAACACGCTGCTCTGCTCTCAACTGAGTTGGATGGGACACTGTGCGGCCGCAACGCATTTTTAGTTCTGGTAACGTTTCTTACCTGTCAATTTTATCCCAGTGAAACCACATGATTTATAGGCTACTAACTGAAAATTACTGCATTGATGTGTAGATGGATATCAGGAAATTCCTCACACGAAGCAGAGACAGGGAAGCAGTAAAACAAGATGAGAGAGAGGGAGGTAAGGTCCCGTAATGAATTAGTGATTTAAGCTAAGCAGTTACATTAGGGACGTTATAAGCAGTATGATTGATATTTACATAATTATAAATTTACGTTTTTTTTATGTTTGCTGTAGAGAATGAGAATGAAGGTGCTGGAGTAGGAAAGGGAGGAGGAGGCGAGACTGACAGGCAAGAGACAGGTGAGAGACAGGAGAGACAGGACCATGAAGGTGATGAGGGAGCAACAACCAGCTTCCACAAACAAGAAGGGGACATTAGTGACTTAGGGGGAAAGCATGATGGTCCGAAACAAGTGAAGTTGTCCCACTATCCCCAGCACAAATTTGGAGTAAAAAAACGTTCATTTAATTCAAAATGGTTTGAAAGCTTTTCCTGGTTGATAAAGAAAGCCTTGTCATCAAGAATATGCAGTGTGTTTTCAACTTGCTTGATAACATCATATTCCCCACACTAACGCAGGTCATCCAGATCTCCCTCACAATCCCAGTCTACAGCTGGAGTTGTGAAAGGTCATTCAGTGTGTTGAGAAGGATCCACACTTGGCTGAGGTGCACAATGGGACAAGACAGGCTCCATCATCTTGCTATTTTATCAGTTGAAAAGGAAGAACTTTCTAAGCTGAGTCACAAGTGATTGACCACTTTGCAAAAATGATAAATAGGAGGTACACTTTAATGCTCAAAAAATAAAAGGAAAACTTAGCTCAGGATGAGTTAAAATTTCCCCCGAACTAAAACTCTGTAACCTAGGAATTAATGATTACTTCAGAATGTGTATAAGGAAACTTTTTATTTGTCAAAGTTGTTGATGTCTTATTTTTTATAGCTGCAATGTTGAAAATGTTCATGTTTGTTAAAACACATATGCTACTCATTAATATCTCAACTGGTAATTTTGGTAGGAATGTATCAGGGTTGGGCAGTGTGCTTGTCTGTATTTATGTTTGGAAGGAGGGGCATATGCACTAGAGGCCAGTGCCCCAGTAAAGCTTTGTGCCTAGCAACGCCCCTGGTTAAGGGTCTTGCTCAGGGACCCAGAGTGGCAGTCCGTGGGAATGGGGCTTGAACTCAGCACATCTGGGACCCAAGCACAATGCCCTAACCACTAGACCAGCACTCCATCTTTTTAAAGAATAGAATAGCAGTAGTAAAGTCTTAAAGACAGAGCAGACCATCGGAAAGGTGTCAACAAAAAATAATCTTTAGTATATTTTCTTTAGCATTTCAGTTTCTCTCATTGTGTTTGGTTTGGTTCAAATTATAAACTGATTTGCTAAGCAACAACAAAAAAAAAAAAAAAACACACATCAAAAACAAGATAGGTATAAATTCAGTAGACATGTAATCCATGCCAAGAAGGAAATCAAAACCGAATAAACTCAGAGATTAACTTATTTGTAACAATATTTAAATAGACAGGACAAATTATTGAACACATTTAATACTGTTCAAATACTTTGTACTCCTGTATGAAGAAACTAGTCCCATGCATTGCTCAGGTGGGATTTTAGTGTATATGAACTTTGATATTAAGTTCTTTCCATAGTTTTTTTCCCCCGATTGGAATCAGGTTAGGTGATGGACTGGTTCAACAGAGACCAAACATTCACCCAGTGGAATGACATAAGTAGAGCATGTAATCCCTGTTGTCTCTGTAAAAAAAGAAAAAAAAAGAAAAACATGAATATTGTTTACCCCATTGATGCGTCTGTAAAATCATCCAGAAAGCTGGCATGCTGTCCGAAAAACTATTTGTATTAATAAAAATGAAAAAAAAAAAAATTCCCAGAGAGTACTGTTTGATACTTAGAAGCTGCTATCTGATAAAAAGGGATTTCAGTATAATAGCAAAGAAAAAAATACCGAAAATATACAAGGCATGCACAAACCCAGTACTGAGGCTATCCTCCAAGACACTATGGTACTATCTATTTAATATGTTTAGTTTACTATAAAGTACATGATTTAATGTATAGCAAGCTTCTAAAGAAGTGTCAGAATATTACAGGGTCGACATGCACTGTCTTCCAAATCTATGATGTTTTTTATTACCTGTTCTTTTTCAGAAACTTCCATGAATTTTATTAGTTTTCAGTCTTTGGTCCCAGATACTTATTTCATAGATAGTGTATATAAACTTTCCTTCTTGTCTCTGCTGAAAGACCAGGGATGATAGTTCCTGCTTGGTCAAAGAAGGCTTGCTGTTATTCGTGCAAACTGGAATCATCACAAACCTCTCGAGATTTAACCTTAATGATTGCGTGCATCCCTCTAAAGACAGTGGTTTCCGCTCCTGACTTTTATGCTCTTAGATTTTTCCTGACTGCCCAAAAGTTTGCAATCGTTCTATTTTTAGAAAATGAAAGACCTATGTTCTCTAAAATCTTGCAATTTCCTAATAAGCCACAATTGCTTGAAAGG